ATCCCTTTGCGTTGCGTAGAGATTTGGGATCCCCTGCATCTTCTTCCGCATTTACCATGGACAATGTTCAGATGAGTTGTTCGGACTAATACCTGCAGCGGGGTCAACGGACGACAAAGCAAAATACGGATGGTGTATCACCTTGACGTCCGTCGTTCCACAACTGAGCGTTTCTTAAGGCATTTCTGCCGCGCATCGCCATCATGTAGAACCAGCTGCCCACTGAAGTATTTCCGAACCAATTCGACTTAGGATCCTTCAAAAAAGGACGGCAGCGCGCCTGCGAGCCTTCTAGTACTGTGAGTGTCCAATGTCCATGGGCGGCGGTATCACATAACAACAGGTGAGCCTCCTGCCGGATTGCCTCTTGTAACATAAACAAAAGTCTTGACAACGAGCGATGCTTAAAAGACACTTGCACATACCCTTTTCTTTACTTTTATTACAGGAAAATTCCTGTAAAATATCGTATTGTGTTTTTAATTAGAGTCAACCATTGAAATTGTAGTGAAGGGTCAATATATATTTATTCAAAATCAAATCTACTGAGTGAATTTGGTTAGATCCCGCTCTTAAGTCAAAGTAAATTACTTCTTGAAATATTTAGAAATTTTTCTATAAACAATAAACATAGAAAAACATTGTCCGAGGCACTAATATTGTTTATTAATACCAGGTGCCGAGCCGCATTTCGGTCCATGCAGATTGATGGATTTTGAATTGGAAATGGCCTGCTTCGTTGGTGGACCTCCTACTAAACTAGGCGAAAGAGTCACTGCCAAACAGGCTGAAGAACACATTTTTGGATTTGCATTGATGAACGATTGGAGTGGTGCGTATACACTGAATTACGTACACCTACAAATATTTGTTTGTTTAATTTACTATGACGTTAATTGTTACTTAAGTAATGTATGTACACTTTATATACTTTGAGTTAGAGTCCTTCAAACAAAGCGCGAACTAATTCTTAATAGGCCGGCAACGTACTTGTGAGCCGTCTGGCAATGTGAGTTTTCATGGGCGGAAACAGCAGGTGAGCCTTCTGTCCGTTTGCCTCCTGTTACATAGAAAAAACCGATATGTCTTGCTAAAATCGATACGAGTCAGGCACAGAAGCCTAATCACTTAAATATAAATCAATCTAAAGCACTAATAGCGCAGTAGCATCCTACTTTAATACCCTAAAATAGAAAGAGAGAGAAAAAGCCCAAAAAAGTTTTAATGTTGCTGGATTATTAATAATAATATTTCCATAACTTTCAGCTCGCGACATTCAAAAATGGGAGTACGTACCCTTAGGGCCATTTACGGCCAAAAATTTGGGAACAACAATTTCACCTTGGGTGGTGACGGTAGACGCCTTGAGACCTTACATTGTCGAGAACTACCCTCAAGACCCGCCACCATTCCCTTACTTGAAACATGAAGACAACTTCAACTTTGATATTAAACTGGAAGTGGATTTGATATGTAAGTAATATTTAATATGCTCCTAAATCCGAAATCACCATCGGACTTCAAGACAGAATACAAAATACCATCCGTATCACCTCGACGTCCGTCGTTCCACAACTGAGCGTTTCTTAAGGCAGTTTCTGCACCGCACCACCACTATGTGGAACCAACTGACTGAAGTATTTCCGAACCAAGAACAGTAACATAAAGAAAAGAAAAAAATGAGAAATGAGGGTAGACATTGACATTTTATTGAATATTCATTCATTTGGTTTCTTTGCGATGATTTTCTTGTTTGTTGAAGCGTTAAATTCGTTGTTATTTCTATTATAAGCCGTTAGAAAAATGGAAGAAGCAGTTTTGAAATTTCAATAGCTATTATTTGAGCTTGATCGTCACGATTTAATACTCACATACAATTGTATTATTTTAATTTCTCAGCTGAAAAATCACCAGTGGTCACTACGATTAGTCGCTCCAACTACCGGTTCCTATATTGGACAGTAAAGCAGCAATTAGCCCAGCAGACTATCACAGGATGCAACCTAAACCCTGGAGACCTTCTCGGCTCGGGGACCATCAGTGGTGACGTAAGTTCTCAATTCGACTTTGGGTCCTTCAGAGTGCGTACTAATTTCTAAAAGGCCAGCCACGCAGTTGCGAGCCTTCAGGTAATGTGAGTGTCCATGGGCTATATCACTTAACATCAGATGAGCCTCCTGCCCGTTTGCCCCGTTATACATATAAAAAACAGTTTAGGATTTATATGTTCATAGTCCAAGCTTTATGAATGATACCAAAGCTATTTAGTATATCGAAAACCTTGAATCCGTTTTAACCGACTTTCATAAAAGAAAGTTATTAATTCGATCTATTTGTATGTGATTGTTGAACTTGGATAATATTTGAGTATGATGATCTATAAATTTGGTAAATGTACGTCTATGATCGTTTCGTAAATTACATGAAAATAATGTTTGTGCACAAAATTCTCGGAAAACAATTAAGTCGTATCAAGGTGATATGAATCAGTTATCTATTGTGAATACTGAACAACATATAACTGACTGACGAAAGGTATTGAATAAAATATAACTGATCAACTTAGAAAACAGTCAAAGTTTTTTTTTATTCAAATTTGGTAGTGTGTGTTGTATTAACATACCTAGGTAAATATTCTTGAATTTGAAGTACAGCGTAAACCCTGTTTAAAAAGATTTGAAGTCTTAATAAAGAAACGCGTTATGCCCGGGAAAGCGTTTTATGTTTTTTGTCTTTAGGAACAGGGATTTAAATTGTAAACTTTTAAATTATTTTACAAGTTGATGCTACGCGCTAAGCCTATAGTCTATAGTCTGGTTATTTTTTAAGCATTAAGGCATAGTAACCAAACAAGGTAATATAAGATAACATAATATGGTATTGTGGTATCTGTAGTATTACCTAGTATCTATATTTTTTTCCAGTTTTTTACATAATCCCTTAACATATGTAGCAGACACATTTGTGCGACAATTTTATTAATCATTTATAACATTCACCAGCCTTTTTACCTTTATCAATCATTTCCTTGGGAATCGAAATAAGGATACCAGTGATTCCTGATGCTTATTCCTATTGTAAAGCCTCTGAATAACGTAACTGTCATTGGTCTGCAATCCTTTCATAAACTTTTATTTATTTTCAGACATCTGATTCTTATGGCAGTATGCTTGAATTAAGTTGGAAAGGAACGAAACCGTTACGTCTAAAGTCTGGAGAGGAACGTAAATTCTTGCAAGATGGCGACACTGTTATACTCCGCGGTTTTTGCGTTAATGAAAATGGCGTTCGCATCGGTTTCGGCAACTGCGCAGGAAAATTGCTACCCGCTGTACCATTTGAATAAAATTGATTTGTTTAAATAGGCATTATTCATATAAATTATATATTCGTCACAATGAATCGCTATTCATATCTATGTAGCTGATTGAATAACGATTAGAAAAAGAAATTATATTTGCCTGAAATAATATGAATTATATAAACAGATAAAGTATTCAATTTAATTCAAAACCCTATCCTATTTCGTTTTGAATATTCATCTATGTAATACGCAACCAGACTATATATATTTAGACTTTAGAAAATTAAAAACGGCTTAATGTAGAAAGTTGCCAATACTTTTATTGTTTTTCGAAGTTATCTTTCGTTCCTCTGAGAAAAGCAGTGGGCCCATTCTTCCTTAGGGGTCTTTTCTATGGCATGACTGTCACGAAATGACCTTTCCGACCAAAGAAGGAGGCACTCATCTTTTTTCCTTGACTTCTTCCTTTGTTTACCTTAGTTGGCCGATGCTCGAAAGGAAACATCCACTGAGCTGATTGTCTTTTGGTTTGGGTTCGTAGCAATATATCCTTCATCTTCAGCTTTCATCACCTGTGACGATGTCACAGTGATGATCAGCAATATATCCACTGTGAAGGACGTCTCTCACGCGGATCATTTATATTGCTACGTCCACGCTTAAACTCGTTAAACCAATTGTAAATAGTGGCACGAGATGGGGCTTCATAAAGAAATGCTAATCGCAGCCTATCATAGCTTTGTTGTTGAGTACGAATGTCATAATAAATCATTGATCGAAAACTTTCTCGCGTTAGGTTTATTTTCACGTGTAACAATGTTTTAGATTTGCCGCCAATTCACAAAAACAAATGACAAATGAATGCAATATACTACAGTAGGTTACCAAAGAGGTCTAAAATTGAAATTCAAAAAAGTTTTCATTAGCAATGTTTCTAACTGGCCAGTTGTGTTACCCACGTATAAATAAGAAAGTTGAAAAAGGCCATCAAAAAGTTTTAATTCTACAGCGGCAGAATTCAAACAAAAAAAAAACATAAATTGTAAAATAACACCACAGACTGGTACTACCATAATAATATAAAGCATAGACAATATACAAAGAAGTTGCTTATCAAACAGTAGAAATGTTATCAATGGGGGCCTCATAGCCTAGCGGTCTTGTTAAGTGGCAGCTAGGTGAGGGGTACCGGGTTCGATTCCCGGTTCGAGGGCAAGTTTTAATTTAATTTAAATTTGTTCTCGGCCTTTGGGAGGGTTGTGCGGTACCGGGCGAGTGCCTAAACCGTACATGGAGGACACGGTCGAATTTCTAAAAAACAAGCACGAATTATAAAAAATCCTATACTTGACGCTGGCTAATGCACAAATCGTGCCAGAGCCATAAAAAAAAAAAAAAAAAAAATGTTATCAACATGACAGTTTGACTTTAGGCTGTCAACGTCAAGTTTTAGTGTTTAAAAACAGCAATTCCAATTTTCCGAATGCTTTATGCTCTTGCTGATCAGCATTTTGCAATTTCATTTCCTACTCAAAATATCTTATCGCTAGTTTCCTTCGCAGTATGGATTAATTTTACCTATAAGCTCCTTTGTGATTTAACGTTTTAATTAGTGCCTAAGCTTAAAGCTGTAAATCAATTAATAGTTTTACAGTTAAAACGGAATTGATGTTAGTGCCGTCCTCGTGGATTCGCAATGGAAAATCACGACCAAAGCAATAATAAAAACGTGTCTTTAAGTTTATTATCTGAATATAATTCGGATTCAGAATCGGAATATACGCCATCGAATGAAAATGCCGCTGAGACTGACGGAGATTCGGATACTGTGGAACTAAGTGAAATGGTGTTAAAAAATAACATTATAAATGCCTGTGCTCATGGTCCTTTACCTTCCGGTGAAAGCGATGGAGAAGTTACAACTCACATGATCATAGATAGTTCAGAAAATGCTGTCTCACAATACGATGTAACAATGTACAGAGTTGATGATGAGGATAGTGATGACTCAGAATCTGATAGCTCTGAAGAATCTAGTGATAGTGATGTGGATTCAGTCAAGGACATTGAGGGGGCCTATAGCGGGTATTACAGCTTTAATAAAATTATTTAGTATCCTCATTGTATAATTTAATTTTATAATAAGATAATTCTATTTTTTATCTGTTTATTTTGAGTAGAAACCGTATAAATGTTATTTTGTCTCTGCCACAAACTCAATTATTGTTAATAGATTTAATATGATCAAGCTTTTTGATTATTAAAAAAATTAAAATAACCTTGAGTTGTCATGGAAACATTCTATGTTAATTTGTAACCTTCACCTTGTATTACGGTAAAGTTCTCTGTGTTATTGGATATACTAGACACTAATATAAATCCTATTTTGTTGGAAGGGATGAGTTAAGTGGAAATCAAGCAGAGATATTGGTTCCTCCTAAGGTTCCAGGTGAAATAGGTCTTGATGAGCTCCCGCCCATAGAAGATCTTACCATAAGCATACCAGCTCAAGAAACAACTAAGATTGGAAAGATTTGCAGTATCGTAGATAGGTTAGGTAAGTCACTTGAATTGAAATTATTATTTATTTTAAATTTTATTAACTTTCTCACAGTTGTATGTTTCATATTTCTATTTATTAATCCTTCGCTTGCTAAAGCGTGTTCCTGTTTTAAACTCACATGTTCGAATTTTACATAGTACAGAATGTTATAGTAATTTTATCATTTACAGTTGTAGTTCAAGGATTACCTGAAACACCAGCTGTAGATATAGATAGCATATTGTTCTTGGAAAATGGTGCTAAACCACTTGGTCAAGTGTTTGACGTTTTTGGACCTGTAAGTACTATTTTTAAGCCAGTTTAATACTACATAATATACATGACTCACTCTTCAGGGCTTAGCAAGCAATGTGATTGTTCTGTTTATCTTGTTTTGTTTTTATAATATAACCATATTATAATACTTACAGGTATCTCAGCCACATTATTGTGTAAGATTCAACTCTGCCGATCACATTGCTGAACGAGGAGTAGATGTAAATATGGATGTGTTTATAGCACCAGATACTCCACACACCAACTACGTGATAGTTCAGCAACTTATGAAGTATGTTTTGTTACTTAAATTTCAAAGTTTTTGAAGTTTTATTACGCGCAAGTGTTATTTATGTATGTATGGAAACCTAACGTTGTATTAGGACACTATTTTAATTTCAAACCCAAAATTTTGTGACATAATAATGCATGCCAGTATAAAATGAACCATTGTTGAATGCTGAATTAAGGAGATACTCTTGAACAAAAGTAAATAAATGTGTATAGAGTATTTATGAAGAGATATTTTAAATTTGTTGGACATTAGGAAATACTTTCTCTTACATCATCACTATTAGTTGGATTTCTATTGAAGATGTAATTTTTAGTATATAGGAGTTAAGCAAGAATACAATGGTCATATGGCTGGTCTAATATGTTTGACAAAAATAGTAATAGATGGCGCTGAACCCAATATTGGAATTGTTTTTCTGTCACTTTACAAGCATTTAATGCTAATTTCCAACAGGTGGCATTAGTTATTCTGTCATTGAAATCATTTTTGTTGATAGTTTTTAGTACTTCGATTTGTTTAAAAAAAATTCTGGTGTATTTCAAACTTAAAAAAAATACTATAGTAACTTAATAAGATCCATTTGTTATAAACTAACACATTTAAAAATATCACAAAACAATTCAAAATGGTTTTAATATTGCAATTTTTTAAAGTAATTTTTTACAAAAATAATTTTGGTAATTATAATACGAAACCACAACTTTCAGAGTAAAAGGCTGCGACGCATCATGGTTAAACGACGTCGAGACACCACCTAATCAAGCCGAATTTTCCGATGACGAAGAAGAAAGGAGAGTGAGAAGAGAGAAGAAAAAAAATAGACAAGAAAACGAAACCACAGGTGGAGAAACATCGAAGGATCGTAAAATACTTGAAGCTAAACGAAAAACACCACAATTTAGGAATAGAAATAGTAACTACCGAGGTCCACCAGGTCCCGTATATCACGGGAGAATACCTCCCCCCCACCCGGATATTAATCCGCCACCCGGGTTTACCCGGCCAATGTTTGCTCCACCCATGTTCGTGCGTCCAAGGATGCGATTTGGCCGACCACCATTCCTTGGAGCGCCCAATATGATGCCATTTAGACATAATATGCCCACTTTTGGCTCCAATTACTGCAATATGCCCGGGGCGCATCCCCAATGGAGGCAGCCACCTCCTCCTGGGACATAAAATGTATCAAGGCATTTTTAAAATCCATTTTGCATGCATTTAATTATATAGTTATGCATGCTTTGAAAATATTTCATTCCTTTTCCAACAGTGAGTTCGGAATGTTAGCAGCTATGGGAACGAAACAAAATCTAAGAGGACTTAGGGTAAGATTCAGAGTCGAATTCACTAAGTATGACTTCCTTATGTCATGTCCCAATTTGACATATTTAAGTCCGTGCTATGTCTCGACTGTGAATCTCAGATTTAGTTCCTAAGGATATTAAAAAGGCAAATTTAATTAAAGTTGTGGAACGTTTTAATTTGTCGATTAATTAAGTACCAATATTGCAGGAAAGATCCTCAATTGAATTTATTTTTTGCAAATAAAATTTTTATCCGCTTTGCCTCAATGATCAGATGTTCTTTAACTTAGGTTATAGTACCCTATCAATGAGACGGAATACCAATGAATAAATGTATTTTAATATATACTCAATTTAAATTTCCTTTAATAATTGGTGCTTTTCATATGAAAAGTTTAAAATATTGTGCCTATAACTTCTATTAACAAAAATGCTTGCTCCGGTAATAAAGGCAAGTGTTTGATATTCTAGTGTTGTTATCCAAATACCTGTATTTATCTTTAAATATAATTATTATAGTTAATGTTTGTTTTTCTTTCACAAGTTTTATTACTTTTTGGTAGTGATTTTTGTGCGAACCCAAAAGATTTTACACATACAATCACAGTGGCGGTGTTTAATTAACTGCAATAGTGATCTAGTATTGAGAATCTTCGGTATCTAGTCAAGACACAATTTTTTTTGTAAATGTTGCACGGAGCCCTAAGTATTGGCGGTGTAAACACGCTTTTGCCTCGGATAAGCAAAAGCTACTCTTGCGCCTGCTCTAGTACTGCGGTGTATGAGACCAAGTTCAAACATAAATTTAAACTATAATTTTTATATTTAAAGCTTGGAGCGTTTTCAAACAGGTGTCTTTAATTAAATCAGTGTTACCCTTTTTTGTACCATGCCCCATCTTAGCTATTCTTATGACCCCTATGTTATATACATAATTTTTAATGTTAAAAAAATACTAGGAAATTGTTAACGAAACACTGTAAATATATTTTCAAAACATAAAGAAAATCTTACATTACAAAATTCAAATTACAAATAATTTTAATAAATTTTCGAATAGCCGCCCTTAGCAATCAAATTGCCTCACTGGGGCGTGGGCCCCACGTTGCGAAACACCGATTTAGATAGTTTAACTATGTTATTGAAATACACAATGTGTATATATACCTATATTAATTTAAAATTCCAAGTATACTTATTAAAATAATTTACTCTGGGTAGTGAGGTAGCGTATGTTAATGTTATGTTAACTGAGATATCAATGTTTTTTATTTATTTTAGGAAATACGTCGAAGCGAGAAAAGTAAAAGACGGATAGTTTTGTAATTTCTTTATTAAATATTTCATTGTTAGAAATTAACTAACGATTGAATTTCACAATTGTTAAAATAAAAAAAAGTTTATATAAAGACTACAGCTAAAAAATACTGCTCTCGGACTATGCAGAAATAAATGTGTCCATAACATTCTGCTGCCCATTGACAAAGTCAATTAAAATGGTCAAAATAATTTTGCACTCACATAATCACAACGTAAAATGATAGACATTTCACAAAACAGGAATAACATAATTAAAACTAATTAATATATTGTTGATGATTTGATTAAAACGAATTAGATCTCGCCGAACATGATGCGACAGAGAGCATACATTGTAGGAATAAAAATCATTAGTAATAATTAATAATTTCATTGACGAGACCCTAATAGAACCTATAGAGGTATAACCTAAACTAAAATTGATTAAAAGCATAATCGTGACGCAACAAAGAATATTATACGGCAGTGGTTTTTAAGTATGTTGCCAGTATATTAATAATTAACATTTTGGCGCGAACGGCGAATTCATAGCGATGAGCGACCTAATGAGGCATTTTATATAAATATGATTATAATAATTTTGATCGTTAATAATGAAAAAATCATGATTGATGATAAATGCACTTTTTACGTTATAAAATTCATACTCTTAGTTGCGTCGCGGGACATAATAAAAATAAAACTTAATATAAATGCAATACAACCGGGCGCTCATACAACATTCCATAAATAATTATACCATCATTTATTGCCAAAACTTGCTGTAGTGCGATCACAACCCCATGTCAAATTGGGAAAATGTAACAGATTAGATCCAATTTTATTAATATTTCTTAGAGATTCATTTTCAATCAAGTTTTTTTAAAATCTCAAGTCAATTCATTTTCATTTATTATTTTTCTGAAATTAAACATTCTATATTTCAATTATTCATATTAAAATCTATTGGATCACATAAGGTATTATGCCTCAATATAAAATGGCTATTTTCTTTCAGAATCATAGTCGGAGCTAAGCGATTAATGTAAATACATATTTTATATTATGTATTGATATAATAGCGCTAAGTTGCCATTTCTGAATCTTCCCCTTAGACCCATGTATTACACTTTTCGATACATCATCCATATTATGTTAAATCAGTGTTTTTCATATATTTATTAATAACCGGAAAGCGAACTGGTATGCTTTCATTTAGGTCCGAATACGACGGAGCACTGCTTAAATTTTCAATAAAATCTTTTTTAGTCTGTAGACTATACCACATTGTGTAAATGTTCTCTAGAAACTCATAAATTTCGTGCGACAAAAATATTGAGCAAAATGCTAATTTAATTACAATGTACTCAAATTTCCTCTGTGAAGGTATTTGCGTATTTCCCAACCACAGTGACTTGCAACCGCACGTCAGCTGCCAATAGGGCCGTTAAAACTTAAAAACCTAACCTACCGCGTGGGACACAAGATTATTCGGAAACTTATCTTTAGTATAAAAATACAGATTCATTTGTATTAAATAAACTCTCACCTTAGCTTGCCAGATGAAGCCTCTAGGGCAAATGAAAAAGCGAGCAGTCTTATTAAGTAAAGCGGACTAAAATAAACATATCACTAATAGTGAACTAATTTGATCTTGAAAACTAAAAACTTACCACTAAGTTAGTTCGAGGATTATAATTTTGATTAATCGTTAGGAACTATACTACTGTACAGATTCAAGGGAACTAAATAATACTTGTAAAACGTATGGGTGACGGCTTCTTAAATAAAATTTTTGAATTTAGTCTGTGGCAGACATGTTGCCAACAATTTTAAGGCAAGTAGGTGATCAGCCATTTGCTCCCGTTACAGTCGACGCATTTTAAACTGATTCGTCGGGCATAAATGTCACTGACAGTAGGAATGCACGCAATGCCGTAATCAATACTTAGATACCTGCGCACGCGCTCTGACTCCTGATTGGTCGTTACTAGTAAGGGTTGTTGTTTATCTATGAATATAAGATTTTTCGTTATGACACATTACTTAAGCTTCGTTACGCACAATGGAAGCTTTTCTAACGTGGTTTTGAAGAAATTAAATGGTGACATTTATCTTACAAATAAAAAACTTTTATTTTCGAAAAATTATTCCTATTAATACTTAACATAGTTTAGCATATCGATCGTACCTATCCCGTTATCGATATGCACCTACAATTCTTACACACATCACTACACCTCTCCGTAAGATCTGTAAGTGCGAGCGAGACAGACAGATAAATATGATTTATGACCCGAAGCGTCAGTTCATAATGCGACTACTATAATCGAATAGTCATGTATAAGCAATTACTTATTTCTATGGCTACTTTTGGAAAATGTTACTTGTAAAAGATTTAAAGAAGCCATCACACACATAGCGAAGCGTGTAAAGGAACTCAAGAAACTTAATTAAAGTCCAATCGACTGTTTAACAGCATCAATGACTGGATAGCTGTCAGAATATACATTTGCGACGCCAACTCGTTTGACAGGTCGCGAATGTTGACGTTGACATTGACGGTCGTCCAAGATGGCGACATTCCCGCGAGAAATCGAATTACGTACTAAGATTACACATACAGGCATAAACGATTAGAGAAATATATGTCATTAAATTATGTCCGACTAAAAATATTTAGCGAACGTATCACTTGTTCGTGTGGTGTTACATTTTAGAATTTTTCAAATTTTTACCTAATCACTACACGCTACTCGCTATTCACAAAGATAAGATAAAGGCGATACAGCTGTGCTACTACACATCCAATATATACGGATAATTCGTAAATAGACGGCCAATCTACGTTACAAAACTACTATATTAAGTCTGGTACGGATCACTAGAAAATAAATCAGATCCACGAAAATTACGTCCGTCGCTCGAGGCGTTGACCGAAGGAAACGTCGGAAGGGAAGTGAATCTTTTTCATTATTAAAGCTAAAAATCTCCCCGAAATAGGCCGCGCGCCCAAAGTCACACCAAGAACCACATCGAAGGCAACCGAGAATTCCTACCTAATTCCATTAAAATACGCGGTAAATATGACTCATCTGTAGAGTATCGCAAAATAGTTATACTTACTATAAAAACAGTGTCTTATACGAGAACTCTGTGAGTCAAATAAAAATAGTCTATGGCAACTCTGGCGGACCAGGCGGATTCGCTTTCATATAAAACACTGTTCGCTTGTGACTTCTTGTTCCGAACCAATTGTGTCGACTGAGTATCTTTGTTTCGACGCGTCGGTCCGTTTCGCGTCGGGAACGCACTCCGCCATATTGTCCCGTTAAAGAGAGTCCCCGACGCCAAACGCCCCGAAGCCGTGTAAAGCTTCCGTGATCAAATCTCAAGATCCAATAAATTATTCCAATTTAAATGCATCTACAGTTACTTAATCTAATATTATCATTGTAGTAGCATTCGTGGGCGACACCGCTCCGCTTTCTACTTAAAAAAAACATCGTAAATCTAAAACCGAATAGCAGCTTTCAAAAATGGGGAAATTTCTACCATTAGTGGTTCGAAGCCGGCAACGTTAGGTTCTAAATTGATCGAGACATCCACTTATTAATAATAGGAAGACATTCTAGCATACGCTACAAGCACTTTGACGAAGACCCAACTTTATGCTACCACAATAATACGTCTACCCCACATAGTATAATAAGGGAAGACTGAGAGGAAAATGGAAAATTTCAAAGTAGTCCGGACTCGTCCCACAAAAGACGCGAAAGATTCGGGTCCTTTTAATTGAACCCAAACGTTCCGAGAACTGTCTCTACACGACAGCACTCAAAAATCGAGAATCCCCAAAAAGTCCAGACTACTGAACAACGTATCGTATGACTATGATGGGGTAAACAGGTGTGGATTATGTGTTCTCAACCGGGCGTATGGTACAGTCGCCCACGGTGGTGATCGGGGTAATCGTGACTGAGCTGGGAGTGGAGACCGACACGTTCGCATCCATCTGCGCCTGATCTTTGTCCTCCTTGTCCTCGTTTGCGGGTAGTTTCACGATTTGACAGTCGCCGACCGTCATGATTTGGGTCTCGCAGCCGACCGGGGGGACGTTCTCCTCCGGCTCAACCCTCGAGTCGTCCTCGTCGCTGGAGGAGTCCGACACGTCGATGGTCCTGTCGTGGGTCTCGGACGCCATGTGGTCGGCGTCGATGTTCCGGTCCGGGTCGACGCTGGTCACGCCGTACGAGTAGGCGAGAGGGTTGTACATCATTTCCGTTAAATAGGAGAAGTCTCCGAATGGCAGGTTGGTCGCGTTGTAGTTTTCGTTCGGTCGGCCGTCTGGAAATTTTCGGAGATGTTACGGTTTAGTAAGAATTTATAAATGTTTTTAATCGAGTGTAGTTAAAGCGATTTTGCTCTTGGGGAACGGGAGCGTTTAAGTATTACGTAACGAATTTTGGGGAGGGGGGGTCCTTTTGTAAAACGTTACGATGCGGGGCGGGGTTTGAATTACGCGTTATTGTTAATATTATTTTCGCCTTTTCAGTACTTTACACCACATAATGGTCACTTTTAGGTATAAAGAGTCACTGGCTAGTCACGAAACGTTTTACTAATGGGTACAGAAAAACCTTACGGCGCGTTACATGGGGGAGGGTCAATAATCTCCAAAAATTGCGTGACGTAATACTTGAACGCTCCCAACCTCAAAAGGTCTAAATTAGGATTTGAAGCTTATTTTAAGATTGATTTAGCGTTTTTATATTGATTTTTTCAGACAATCAAATCAATTCATTCCAAATTTTACTATCTGAAAAAGAACGCCTTTTGTTCACAACTTAAAAAGCACTTAATCATGCAATTGCCCAATAATGCGAACATGTATCATGCATATTTCGAAAATACAATAGAAGCAAATAATAGTAAAAAGCTTTCGTTATTATGCGATTTGTTTATTATGTTAATTTCAGCTAGAGGTTACGATCCCTTATAAAATACCGATTAGTACCGACAATTTCCCAATTGTTCATGCCAAATAATGTATTATACTAACAAAATTTGTTTATCTCAGCAGCTAGGCCGTACTGCATCGGTATTGTCATATCCATACCTAAGAAAACACTTTATTAGCTCTGCACTACACGATCAACGACTACAATCTACATAAAAGAGAAATAGAGAATAGAGCGTATCATCCTAGTCTAGTCTGTGGCATCGGTAGCAATTTCAATTTAAATATAGATTCAAGGACTGCCAAACAATTATTTATACGTTTGACAATTGACAGTGTGATATTACAATAATATTGAGCAACATTTTAGGACGATTCAAATATTTTGGCGCACATATCAAAGACATTTTGACAGATGTCAAGCCAGCGAATTGAGACAAGATTCATAGACATGTCTATGATTACCATCTGCCAAAATCGCCCAACTTTTTGCGACAGTCAATTTACTTTTAGTAATATTCAGAGACAAGTTAAGTGATTTATATCAAAGTCAAAAGAACATTACCATGAAAAGAGAGATGAATTTGTAATTAGGATTAGATTAAGAAGGCTAGATTAAGGTGGCTACCATTAACAAATCGAATCTATTTATTACTACTAAATTTAGATTTATTATTTCCCAAATAAAGGGGGAAGACCAGGTCAGAAAATCTGGCAAGTTCTTTTTTTAATTTTTAGGTTACAAGAAAATTGCAAGATTCGGCAACCTATATGTAATTAATTTTTAAAAGCATTATATTGAGATTTTTTTTAAAACATTTCTCTGACAAAATAACAATAGGGTTGTAATTGCAACTTCTAGTCCAATCTGGAAACACAGACTCAGAGCCAAAGCATACATAAGACCCAGTTGGAACATAAAAACTATTTCCATTCCTTAGCGAACAAGGTCGTGCACGTCACGAATGAACGAACGTCAGTGAGACTAGACGTTTTGCGATCAATTGTCAAATACACTATTCGCTCTATAAACTATTCTCATTTGATGTCGTTAGAACTTTTTTGTTCACCGTATTATACATGATAAAATTTATCTAAATTATTCATATGTAATATGTAAATTTAACATTTTCCTTATGGTAATTTTATTTATGATCTTTGATAGTTAATTTGTAAGAATTGTATTAAAATTTAGTTGTTCGCTTGTTTTCCGACTGTTGAAATAATATGCATATGGAACAAAAAACGACGCAAGAGTACAATAACATTAAACAAAAAAGTTCATCAAAGGCTGTAACGAAAAATAAAAAGCTAGAAGTGATTGCACACACGGACAAATACAATAGAGTCGTGATATTATCTAGGTACAGTCACACACAAACGGCATTTGGAACATTTAAATTTTGAATGAAAATTTCTTAAATGTTTCTTTTTATTGCGACAATGTGGACTCGAATAGTATTTAAAAAAATAATAATATTCCAATTCAAAATTTGAATCTAAATTTAATAACACAGTAAACTGCCAGAAATCGCGTTGTAGGAGTATTCTAGTATTTTTTTTTGAATTAATGAAAAAGTATGAACACGAATTTAAAGTTATATGTTTCATTTTATAACATAATTGAAACAGGTGCAAAGGTACGCAAAACGAATTATGAACTTGACAAATTATTATAAATTTCACACTACAGAAATATAACTTGAGAAATCTTCACGTTTAAGGGGAGAAATACCGCGTTATATGGGGCATAACTGTACATTACACCATAAACACGTTTCAAAAACACTTTTGTATTTGACTGTACCCTAAATGAGCTAGTTATAAAAACTGGTGATTCATTATAATGTCATTTTGTAATATAAAAACTCGGACAAGACGGTAATTTCCAAGTTTTTATATTCTGGTTTTAACCGTAATTTAGTGTTACAATTAACTTTTAGATTATTGTTTATGTTCTTATCACAATTATTTAAAGCGTTTACGCGCTCGAGTCCAGGGGAAACAAATTTATCTTTTGTTGACCTTAGATTATGTTTATCGGTCACGTGACATGTTATTCGCCTTTTTTTATTTTATTCGTGTTTCAATATAAATAGTATTGCCTTCGCTTGACAAAAATAATTTCTTTTTGTTGTATTTTGAATATGGCAATATTGTGTAACATCACGTGACCATAGAAATTGGACTACCAAGCACAAAACAAGTTGGAATAAAAATCAGGGGTCTTTTCAACAACAAATTGTTAAAATAATATTTCTATAAACTATTAAAAACATTCAAATTTAAAGTCAATACAAGCAAGAAAATAAATATTATTAAAAAATATCGAAAAAAATCTCTTTATTTCTTACCAGGTCTGTTGGGTATGAGGTAGTTCTTGGGTGGGCGACCTCGTTTCCTCTTCAGCAGCAGCTGTTGGCCCGCGGGGGATAGAGCAGACATATGTTGGGGGCTGGGACCCATCACGGTACCACTTGTTAGCACACATCCTTCCATGTCTGGAATTATTTTTATTTCTCAAAATCTAGATAAAGGAGCAAGTGTTCACAAATTGGGATTTTTTAATTATACATTTACATGTTCTCAGTACGTAATATTTTTTGTGATGTCATTTTGTAAAAAAAAATATATATTTATTATGTTTAAGATTTAAGTTAGTATATAGTTCCTCGCTTAACGAATAAGTATCACAATACAGCGAGGAAATGCCATCATTAAACACCGCAGGGACCCAACCTTTAAGTTTATTTTAATTTTCCATTTATTAATTTTTAATTATTATTATCATAATTTATTTATTGCTCAGATTAAAATAACGCCGTAGCCCACAAGTCCAGTATAGTTTTAAATTGGTCTAGGCATGTGATAGGGAAACGGTATTTGAATAAATGAATACTAATAATCGCTATTTTTTTTAGAATTTGTTTAACTAACATAAGGGGGCGTCCATAAATTACGTGAGGTGTTTTTTAAATTCTCTTTTGCTAGATGCAAAGTAGTAAATACCGCATGTACTACAGCATCTTTTCTCTAAATCATCACGTATACTTGGGCAGTAGAGATCATAAGGCGTGCTGATGCAGGCATTCAGCGGTTGAATCGGTAGGTGGTGGCGTATTAGAAATGGAACAAATGACTTTCCGTCATGTTCATTAAAGTGTTTTTTTTAAGAAACCGAAATTTCATCAACCGCGTAAAAATCGGTTTATTTATTCAAAAGTTTTTGCGGTTTGAAAATTCAAAAAATAGTGTTTTATCATACTTCCATTAGACTTTTGAGCTCCAAGAGCTCAAAAGCATAAATAAGCTATATCTTTGAGCTCGGAGAACTCAAAATAACACAGAATTCCTACTTTTGAGCTCAAAAACAAAATAAGTGAAATGTTGAGCGTTTAGGTATGGAGTTAGCGGGAAGTTGCAGAGATGGCCTTTAGGGTCAACCGTTTTCCTAATTTTTTTTTCAATCAGAAAATTTTTTTGCGTGATATTTGCCAAGACCCCCCCCTTCCCACGTAAGATTAAATGTGATTTGACTCGACCCCCTCCCCCCTTAAACACCTCACGTAATTTATGGACGCCCCCTAAGCACTATGAAACAGAATAAATTTAACATACCGAGAGACGTCTTTGGCGGGCGTCCTCGTCGCTTCTTGACCTTGGGGGTCAAAGGCAGCGGGGTCTTCCTGGGTCTACCGCGGCCCCGTCTCGGAGGGTCAGAGAGATCAGCATCGTTCCTGGCATCCAGCGTGGAGTTTAAAATCACTGGAGTGGTTCTCGGGGGCAGCATGACGTCACCGCTGGGCGTGAAAACAAGATGGCTGGACTCGCGATGCGTGGAACGGACCATTCCCGACATTACTTCGGAATTGTCCTCGCGTTTGACAACCGGCTGTTCGTTTGTCATATCCACTGTTGGGTCTTCCTGAAATTTGGAAATGCTTTCCTTGTAACAGCTTTGCCTGTATACAGTGTAAACTCCATGTAACGTCCCTCGATTTAACGACAGAGTCCCTAAAGCGTCGAAATCACTCGGCTTTGGTTGGTTTAGCTTATCTTCCATACAATGACACACTCTACATATTTATTTATTTAGTTATCAAGCCCACGACATCACACACAGTCCTAAATCTACCAATTATTTCACAAAATCTTACATCCAAAATGTGCGACAATCAACGCAAGCATAAGTTTCTCAAAAAAAAAAAAACAAATAGAAATAAAATAAAAATACAACTAAAACACACACATTAAAATAAAATATTTTTTTTTAACATAAACATAAAATAAAATTTTCAACAAATTTCATTAAAATTAAATTTGTTGGCACTAAGCAGAAAAAAAAGAAAAATCATCAGAAAAACAGCGAAATTAGGTTCGAGAAAGGCACCCCACAATGCTTTCTCTAAAACCGATCAGCCCACTACCGAATATATTCAGCTCCGGATAAGCTGTGTTCAATTTTTTAAAATCACGAAGAATTCGAACGAGAGGTGCCTGAACTCCTAGGTTGGTTTTGGCAGAAGGAATTTGGAAGATATTGTTGATTTTAAACCTAGGGAATGAGTAAGGGACGACAATTTTGATATCCTGTAAGAGGTCACTGCTTTGTATATGGTTATTGAGCAATTTATGCAAGAAGGTAACACCGTCTAGAGTTCTCCGATTTTACAGAGATAACATATTAAATTTTTTAAGTCGCTGATGGTACGGGTACATAGCATAACACCCACCCTCAATATCGACAATTAAATAATAAAAAGTACTTTTTAAGTCGCCAAAATTAGTTAAAACTGCGGAACTCTGTACGTTCTTTTGTCGCTTTATTGTCCTATCCCGTAATAAACTCAACTTACTCAACTTTCGGCATCACACGACATACATACATTTTTATGTCATTATTAACACTAGTCTGAAATAAACTTTTTCTTCTTTCTATATAACGCCAACTCTTTATAACGACAAAATATGCACGGTTCCTTGAGTGTCGTTTTATAGAGTTTACACTTTAGTAGTTCCTTTCAGGTTAGACGTAAAATGCTTGTAATGTCATACCTAAGTCTAAAGTCATGAACACTAAACCGCAACTAATGAAACATTCAGTTAAATAAATATATAAAGGTACTAGCTGACTGAAAAGTCGAATTGTTATGTTTTTATTTCTAGGTTTTTTTTTAATTCAATAAAAATCTACTATAATAAAAAATAAGGGTTGATCGTAGAGAGGTGACGATTAAGGTTTGTATGTATTTTTGTATGATGTATCATAAAAAAATAAATAGAAAAATTAATATTTAGGGGTGGGACCACCCTTAACATTTAGGGGGATGAAAAATAGATCTTTTCTCAGACTTACTGAATATGCATAAAAAAATTCATAAGAATCGATCGAGCCGTTTCGCACGAGTATGGGATCGAACATTTTGACACGAGAATTTTATATTTCAGATATAATATATGGTTAATACCTACAGTCGACGCATTATGAACTGAGGCTTCGGGTAATAAATCATATTTATCTGTCTGTCTCGCTCGCACTTACAGGTCTTATGGAAAGGTGTGTAGTTCGTAAGAATTGTAGAGGTGCATATCGATAACGGGATAGGTACGATCGATATGCTAGTTTTGACCCAAGTCTCATGAAGTCTCATGATCGATATGCTAGTTTTGACCCAAGTCTCATGCAGTCTCATGATCGATATGCTAGTTTTGACCCAAGTCTCATGATCGATATGCTAGTTTTGACCCAAGTCTCGTGGCCGTTGGTTTTCCTGAGAAAGTCCACTTTTCGTAAACAGTCCACTCTAGACCATATCAGCTCTTTCCGATAAGTACTTTCGTCCATCGGATTTTTTTAAAACTTGTTGCCGATCTTAGTCAGACTTTTTCTCATTGAAGAATATCCGCACTTAAAGTTAGGGACCATGTTGATATTTTTCTAGAAATCTACGATGACGCATCGACCCCGCGTGCGCAGGTAGCTAAGTATCGATAACACACATTTATTGCCCGAAGACTCAGTTTAAAAAGGCGACACTAATTGTATACTCATAATTACTTACTCTTTATTTTGGTAGAAACCTGACCTAAGTCTAACAACCAATATAAATAACATAAAACCACATTTCACGTCCACGTACATGAATACGTACCCGCTCGCAGATCTTAGTGTGTACGCGCAGTTTGTCGGAGCGAGCGAAAGAACGTCCGCAACCGCCGCACGTGTACGGACGCTCACCGGTATGCGTAAGACGATGTCGGGACAAATGGGATGAACGGGCGAACCTGGAATTTAGTAATAAATTATATTTATTTATTATGGTAAAATCGGCGAGTGATTGTGTAACGCTCGCGTAAGTGATTTTTTTATTAAAAGCAATTTCTTTCATTTTTGATTACTTTTAATTATATGTATACCACACACAAGATAAGAAACTATGCAGTATTCTATTTAACGACGCACGTGTATTACAATTAAGAAACATATTTAAAAAACCAGTGGCGCTGCAATCTTCAAAGTCTGGGCCTCAGATCTCTATATATGTTTCATGATTATTTGTTTTTTCTAATAGGCAAGTAGGTTATCAGTTTTTTTTTATAGAACAGGGGTCAAACGTACAGGAGGCTCACCTGATGTTAAGTGATACCCATGGACACACCAATGCCAGAGGTAATTTGAGGCAATTGGTACGCTCTTTTCTTGAAGGACCCTAAAGTCGAATTGGTTCAGAAATACTACAGTGGGCAACTGATTCCACTTTGTGGTGGTGCGTGGCAAAAACTGCATTAAAAAATGTCAGTTGTGGAAGGACAGATATCTAGGTGATACGGGTGGAATTTCGTATTCTGCCTCGACGTCCGATGATAAAACTCAGCTGCTGGTATTAGACTGAACAACTCCTCTGAACACTCTCCATAATAAATGCTGTAGAAGATGCAGAGTGACCCCACATCTCTACGCAACGCCAAGGAATCAAGCCGTTTGGAAAGAGATTGGTCGTCGACGATTTGAACCGCTCTTCTCTTCGAGGCTAAACACTGTAGACTTTATGCGCAGGTATAGACAAAACGTCCATTGGTGCACAGTCGGGACTAGAACTGACGACTAGGGTTGAGAGTCGCACGCCACTAGGCCAACATTACTCTATAATAATATAAATAAACTAGCTGATCCGACAAAAGTTGTTTTGCCATGTACTTATGTTATTTCTAGGAAACAATATTTTAGTTCAATAAAAATAACTATAATAAAAAATAGGGTTTGATCGTAGAGGGGTGAAAATTAAGGGTTGTATGTATCTTTGTATGCTGTATCATAAAAACAAAAAATGTTGTCTAATAAATAATGTTTTTTTTGAGGTGGACACCCACCCTATATTATTACTTAGGGGTTTGAAAGATTCTCAGTCTTACTGAATATGCATAAACATTTTCAGATGAACCGGTCGAGCCGTTTCGGAGGAGTATGAGAACGAAGATTGTGACACGAGAATTTTATATATATATAGAGATTTACGTAAAACTTACACATTACACCTTTTACAACATAGTGCTTACCTAACATCACAAATATCACATGCATAGGGCCTTCCATCCTGCGAATCATTGGCAGCAGCATCAGATACGGAACCGCTTGAATCTGTTTCCTCTTCCTCATCCATCGCTTTACCTCGTTCTGTAAAAATGTGTATTTAATTAGAAATTTGAGGCTTATTTTAATGCAATATAATAATAATAAGCCTTTATTCAAAAATAAATATAATTTTAACTACGGTCCGGGAGAAGGCTTCCTCCAACATTTTCCATAGTATTGTCTTTTATTGACATAACCGTTACACATTTAAAGAAAAAACTTTTTAACCGGAATAAAGTTAGGTATATGTATTATAATAAATTTACAATTATTGAACATAAATTTAACAAAACCCTCCATCTTTTAGTCGAACCAATTCCGGGGAAATAAATACAGATAATGCAACTTTTTCTACAGCTGTGATACTTTTTGACATCCAACACCTTTTGTCTTCAGTCACCGTGACCACGCACGTTGTAAAGCACGCGAAACGTCGGATAAATTTAAAATTATGTTCAATAATTGTAAATTTATAATAATACATAACTTTAATCCGGTTAAAAAGTTTTTTCTTTAAATTTTCCACCCTATTTTATTTTGTGCCATCGTCATCAAATTTTTTCCAGCTACCCTTTCTTTCCCGTCGGCCCATCGCATGATATATCATGTTAAACATTTGTCGTATGATTGATTTATAGATTGAATGTAATCTGTTTAAAAAATTCTTGTATAAAAAAAGAATTTGCAGTCTTACCATCAGAATCGTCATGTTCGTTATTGGTGGGTTTCTGTAAAACAGCCAACTGCACAACTTTTATACCGCCCTGTTTGTTGTCTTCTTTTGGCTCGCCATTATTTGTTGCACCTGAAAAAGCGTTAATTATAAATTTCAATTACCATAATTAAAAAAACATCTCTTGTTTTGGGTGTTATAAAATGTTGTTTTAGTAAACTTAATTCTATATATTTGTTTGGCTATTAGTTAATCGGTGTGTAACTATCAAATTTTATAAGACAGGTTTCAGCTAAAACCAAACATATCCTTATCAATCGTTTCAAACAATACATCCGTAACTATATTTTTATCATATAGTGAGTGTTAAACTATTATATAAGGTGACCCAGGTGAGGCGCGTTCGCTTCACGGCACATATATATTGTTGAGTCCAATTAACACTTCATAATATGATGCTAAAAGGAAACCATCTTTCCACGCAATGTAATCTAGTAATGAAACGCTACCAGCTATGTACCCCGGAAACAAATTTTATAAATTAAATTAATTATTTTTTTTATTGTTTTTTATTTTTTTATTTTATTTTATCTTCTTAAATTTTTTGCTAAACTGAATAATAATATGTAGTAACTAAAGACTTCGACTCAAAAAGTTAACAGCGTAAGGCAAACAGACAGCTGATTAACTTGTCTTTTAAATAAAATCGAGCTGTTCGGAGTATTTTTTGTGTTTCCCTATAAACTACTAAGGGAGTAAACGATTTTAAAACAAATGGTGACTTTCACCTGTTCACCGAAACAGAACTAATCTAAGCGTACGACCAATAAACTCCCAAGCGAAGTTAGAGGATAATCACTGAATAAATTAAAAAATCTCGTAAAACCTAAATAAATCAATAAAGCTTTTTATAAATTTGACGATTATTTAAATAATCCTTGGGATTGATTTGCTCCAGTTCAAACAACTTGTATGACTCAAAACTTGGCGATTAAAAAGAGTGGCGGAGAGTTTCAAGCTAGTCCTTGCCCGCTGTACGCCCTTGACTTGAACTGGTAGTAAATGTATATTTAGAATTAATTTACCATCTTTTCTGTTGACGTTCATAATCGGTTACCTATATGAATAAAGTTATTTTGAGTTTGAAATGACCAAGAAAACTATTTAATTTTATCCCCTATATTCATAACGTTTTGACTAAAGAACTCTATCTCTTTTTATTACAGCCTAAATGCAATTTGACGGAAAGAGCAAAAGCACTTTATGTATGTAGACAGTGTTACAACCATTTTATTTACAGAAACACATACGTTTTTTCATTAGTTTACATTTAAACAATAACCATTATTTCTTATCGCATATTTTTATAATTAAACCCAATGTTTATGAATGTCGTGCGATGTTTTTAATATAATTAATACAAACGGAATTACAATGGTATAATGGAACGAGTATTTAAAGTTTATTTCTCAAGTTATATTATTTTTTTAATTAAAAAATAACACCAGTGGTGTTACAACCAAGTGTTAGGTTTTTCTAGGCAAGTAGCTAACACACATCGTTTGGGTCTAAGGCCGAATTCCTCACGATATTTTCCTGCACTCGAGTGTGAAATGACCAAAGGAAAGTCTTATTTATTAACTTCGTTACATTTAAAGAACAGATTAAAACAGGTAACAAATTAATAGGGAGGCAACGGGCTGGCTTATCAAGCGATCTCTTCCAGACAATTTCAGTATGAAAAATAATACTAAGGGTGGGGGCAAAATGAAATAATGAAAAATCGCTAATTTTAAGGTTTAGAATCAGACTTGCACAGCCTAGGTTCAAATCCCCAACACTGCATGGCAAAACACACAGAGATTAACAATAAGAATAAATATTAAAGAAACAGACTGGATTGTGGTCAACTCCTGCGCGTAATTATTGGTAGAAATTCTTAAATTAGCAAAGTACATTTTAATTAATTTATGTAAATTAAACACGATTTTTATTTGCGTTAAAGGCTTAAAGCCCGCAAAAAATCTTATCTTACAGGTATGCCAATTAAACAAAATTGATTTTTAAATAAGAAATAAAACCTTGTAATTGATCGAAGATGTCCAAGTTTTTAAATTTCCTCTTCGGTAATTGCCAACGGTAATTCAATTGACATTAAAAATTCCTTAAAGCAAATATACCGTTGATTACTATCTAAGCTCCACAGTTTCCCCTGTTTGAACTCGGTCATAGCCTAATGTTAGCCTATAGCATACAAAATTAGCAGTGAGGTTCGAACCTCGGCTGTGGACTGAACTTTGCTATATACGCACATACTCGTGACGAAAACATCGTGAGGTACTTTCCTATTAGAAAAACAACCCGAAACGGATACAGAAGGATATAAAGTCAGTAGATTTTTCCTATATAAATGGCATAATACGAAAGAATTTAATCAAAAATTTAATAAAGAATCAGAAATTATTTGAGAGATTTTCGGAGAGATAAAAAGTTACATGAAGATGTCAGATGTAAAATGATGTGATTTAAATTACCGATTTGTTACTGCACAGTAATGGCGGTTAGAATAAAGTATAAAATAAGATATAATATAAGTTATATAAAGAGAATGCATTTTTATGTTTGTAATGGAATAGATGCAAAAGCAACTGGATATGACAATACGACATTTTATCTTAAAAGTACTTTAAAACGTAATTTACCGAAAATTTAATATCAATGTTATAAATCTACTAGCTGACCCGGCAAACGTCGTTTTGCCATGTATATTATTTCTAGGGAACATTTTTTCAGTTTAATAAAAATAACTATCTACTATAATAAAAAAATGAGGTGGATCGTAAAGGAGTGACATTTAGAGGTTGTATGTATTTTTGTATGCTGTAAAAAATAAAAAGTTGTGTCTAAAAAATAAAAAATAAAATTTAGGGCTGGGACCACCCTTAACATTTAGGGGGATGAAAAATAGATGTTGTCCGATTCTCAGACTTACTAAACATGCATAAAAAAAATTCATAAGAATCGGTCGAACCGCTTCGAAGGAGTGTGGGAACGAACATTGTGACACGTGAATTTTATATATTAGATTACTACTAAACGATTGTTTATTCACTATAATACAAAGTAGCAAAACTTTAATCAAATACAAAATTCACTCCCTTATGTCCAATAATTAATTTATATTAATGCCAAAATTAATAACAACAACATTTCACATTTGTCACCAATTAATTCGAATTTTGTAAAGTTCCTCGTATATAAATGTGAGAATATTTGAAAATAAATATATATTGCAGAAACAACAACCAGACGTATTCTATGTAAGGTATATATTAATTGATTGGAACCAGCAAGAAAACCTTGCAAATGGGGCAAAGAGAGACGGAATGACTTGGGGCGAGGTGAAATACGAAGCTCAAGACCCAAACGATAGAGACTCACTGTGGACGCCCTCTGCCCCATTCAGGAGACTTTGGACATTAAGCCAAGGTACATATGATAAAGCAAAAAAGTCGTGCGTTAGAATACCTGTAGTGCACAAGTTCATTCTTTCTCTCCAAGTGTAAATGTACAAAATATTTACCTTCAATCAAATTCCGTTTTATACACATGTGTTACAGTCTGAATGTTTCTTTTTCCCAATTTAGTCAAGAGTTATATAACTTGTCAAACGCATTATTGATATTTCTCAATCTCGAAAGTCATAACTTTCTTTTGAATATATATTGATGAATGATTTGTTTATTGCGATTCTTTATCTATATTTACGTAATATGAATTTTTTCATAAACCTATTACGTCAAATGATTTTATTCAACAATTTTAATATGGTAACGTACTGTATTGTAATATCATTGAAATCAAAACAAAAATATACAAAATTATGAAGATCATGTCACTGTTACGTAATCGGAACTTGTAATTTAAAGGATATTAGTACAATATTTCTTGTTACAAATGTTATATCAATACTTCATAGAGGATCAACGTAGGTGCGTAGTTCTCTAGGGAGAATACTTGGTACAGTTTTTTTTAAAGAGCTAGTTAAATATAATTTGAACCTTATCATGAGACTCATGGCGGCTTTGGAGGTCCCGAGTTCAATCCGGCGAAATATTTTTTTAAGTTTCTGCTCAGTAAGTACATACCACGCAATATATCTAAATATATATTTATCAACTCAATAGCCGTCAGCTTCATAATTCGTGTGTTGAAAAAACGTGAAATATGCTAAGCGTGAATTTATAGACTTCCAATTATACAATCTGAATGTCAATCTAAATGACATGAAAGTATTAAGTATAATATGTTTTTGGATAATATCTTAAAAATATTGACTCATAATAAACACTTTATATGAAAACGTCATGTAACATTTATCCGATAATATGATTTCGAAACAAACCTAAAGGAAAGAAATGTATATTTTTTATAAAAATTAATTTTGAAGTAATAATATTTTTTATAAAAATTAATTTTGAAGTCGGTATTTTTTTACACGCTTTATATTAGCTTCACCTGTATGTATGTATGTATGTATGTAACCGACTCCTTCGGACTCGATTTTGACCCACTTTAAACGGACAGATTTAATTCAAACTTTGTACACTTATAAAGAATCAGCGACAATATAATAATTTCATAGGTTTATCTCGAAAAAACAATGAAATTTTTTTTAAGTCCAGTAAGCAATACGATGAAATTGAGACAACACGTATTGCTGCTATGACTAAAAAGTGGAAAATAAATATAGTTTTAAAAAACTATTAAACACGGTTGCTCGATAGACGAAAAATATGGCACAGAGCGCCCCACGCTTTTTCACAATAATACCAGTATTTTTTGTTCATTACCCATTTTCAGCCTAAATTGGAATTATTTTTCACTTTTTAGTTTGATGTGCTTTAAAAGCGTGTTTTATAGTTTTTTAAACTATATTTTTTGTAAAAAGGAATTTATTAACTATAACGATCCTCTCACGTTTTTCGTTCAAACTACTAAAAAATATTTTTGACTGCCTTTTTAATAGTGGTTAGCAAGTGGTCCAAATACCAGGCAAACATCACCTCCATGCGATTCTTCTTCAAACATTAAGTTCGCTTTTTCATTGCGATTTATATTGAAGAATATAA